GGGGGGGCGGCTTGTTTTACAACGTCGTTGCCAAGCGACGAAAACCCAACCCCGATGGCAAACACCGGGGGGGGGCGCAGAAACACACACACATCGTGAAGGACGCCTCATTTGTTTGGCAGTAACGCCTATTCGCGCGTGCTCCATGAGGTAAGCGACATCGCCAGGGCGGTGCCTCTGACGTGCTAGATACTACTGAACGAACCGCCGGGCATTGGTCGTGTTCAAATATGGCTTCTCTGCACCCCGGCGCGCATGACTGGAGTCGAGGCGTCGGGACACGGGGCACTAGCACTTGGTGCACCCGCGTTGTTATCGGCACAAGTCTCCGGAGCAAAGGTGCCCGTCCACTCTCTTCTCGAAACATCCTTGCAAGCTCGCCATATTTGGGGCACTATTAGTGCCAGGGGCAGCCATCGTCGAGGGCCCCGAAAATCTCTATTGGTTCTCCTCTTTGGATGATTCAGTCCGTCCCTTTCACCCGGATACTCAATGGTCGCATCGTTCGCACCTCACATAAGTTCACAGGTCTGTGGTCTGCTGGCCGCGTCAAGTGTGTTCACCGTCTCACGACAATTTTTGACAGTCTCTTGACAGTCTCCTCGCCTTTTTCCACCGACTGCACTCAAGTCAAGCAATCCAACTTTGAAAAAATCGAACGCGAACTGCTGTCAGTCTTTTCTCCTTCCCTTCCTCTACAAAACCAAGGAAAACCCATCCCGACAAGAGGACGACAGAAACGAGAGAACAAAACTCGCCACAAATAAGAATAGATCCACACGATGGAACCACAGCGCCCAGCTCGCGAGGCAGCTAGCTCCAGACCCCGCCACCAACACCATTCCCCGCAAGAAGTAAAGAAATCGTGGGGACACATGGATACAAAAACCGACACACAATACTTCCTGATGGTTCCTCAGGCGATAATCTGTCACTTACACCTCACCCCCGGAAAACACCACAAACTCTACGACAGACACACAAAAGCGGGGCGCTCCTAACCCCCCCCCCCGGTGCTAACCCGACTGAACGTGCGTCAAGCCTAACCAACCCTCCTTTAAGTCGACACCCCCCACCGCCGACGACGAAGAAGTCGTTCCTGAAGAGAACACCGACCGTCCACGCCGTGTCGACGGGAGTCTGCTCCTCATCAGCACAGTCGGTCCGACATGGACGAGTGATGTATCTATATACGATACCAGACAGCCCCCACCCATGCCATGCCATGCAACGAATCCTCCTCGTGAGAGAGATCTACGTAATCATGGTATGACAGCCCGTCCCGTGGAGTGGTAAAAAGAGAGCCCACGAAATCATCCCACCCGTCCCGTTGAGAGGCGAAACACAAAATCGCGCGAAGTAGGACAGTTGGTACAGAAACCGTGGAACCACCCACACGAAGTGTCGACAAGGACCGCAGCAATTTCTTGTATCCAGAACGAGTTCAATGGCACAGCACCGGTCGCCCCTCCGTTCTTTTCCCTCTGTACGCGGACGAACAAGATAACTGTTACATGTATACAGGTGGGGGTAGTTGTCCACACTGCTATATACTTGCTGTCTGCGTTCCTTCATCTTTGCACCATCCACCAACGAACAACTGTGCGCCCCGCAACCGGCCGGCCACGCCAATTTCCAGGTGAACAGAGGGTAAACAAGATGTGATATTGCCACGGGGTAGACAAGGGAAGAAACAAAAAAAGTCCCGTCCGATGCTACCCCGCCCAGCTGCTTGCAGAGAAGCAAGCGGGAGCGAAAACGGTGAGCATGAAAACGGACCCCCATCCGTGGTCATGCACAGCCATACTATCGCATTTGATAAACGTGACCCTTGTTTCCATTTAGCCCACGTGGAAAAAAGGGGGGAGACTTCGCGACACAATCGCCTGGGGGCGGGGCAATAACAACACGCACCAATGTCCTATCTCCAGAGAAGCAGGAGGACGTTCTACGGGACCAAACAGCCAAGACAAACGATGACAACACCAAAAACACCACCGACGACAACAGCATAAAACAGAAGACCCGCGCCAACCGCAAGCGAGCCAACAAAGAAAGACACGACGGCAGAAAAGAGAGAGAGAGACGAAAGAACAAACAAACAGTATGACCACGCAGGACCTGACCGAGTTCAGGAAGAGAGGGGAAGAGACAACGATATGCCGCGAGATTAGAATCCCAGCCCCACACCAAGTTCTCAGCAAGACACAGGCGGCGTCGTGTGTGTGCAAAAAACACGTAACCACCACAACCGGCTAGCACTCGACCCTCGCCGCCACGAAGGACGAGAGGGATCGGAGGGAGTTGCTCCACCGTTCCATGGCGTCGTGCTTGCGGGAGGTGGCCGTCTCCTGTGGCCCGTCCAGCAGCAAGAAGCCCTCGATCTGGTTGATCTTGCCGTTGAGCCTGCGGTCCAAGATCAGGTTGATCAGCAGCTTCTCCACCTCCGTCGTCTTTAAGCTCAGCTCCTGCAACCACAAAAAAAAATGCAAGCAAGAACTAATGATGACTCTGACCCACATCATAATAACAGTCGTGGCTCCGATACAACAGGGTACCTGATACTAAGGGGGCCGGATATACGAGAGGAGAAATCAGATGTCACGGACTTGATCCACATGGTATAGTTGGGTACCCTCATATTTCGGTAAAAGAGGGGGCTCCGATATAAGAGAGTCGAATGCCATGGTCGCACCAGACTCTTACATCGGAGCCACCACTGCCGTACTCTTCAAGTCTTCGGTGCACTTCACCCAAACCAACGAGTCTCCGTGACCACAGCCAGGCAGCAAACCCAAAGTAAGGCACCAGAAGACAATGGATGCCACCGATCGGCAAACAGCTCCCAGACATCGGTCATATACTACAGCCACATTCAAAGACGCCTCCCAAGAAGAGCGCTCCCAGATTCCCCGCCCATACAACCCCACCCGCAAAAGGAAAGAGGCGAGTGGGTCCAGCCGAACCAGAAATTCGGCTCGATGCGGACACTGTAGGCACACGAACGTCAGTCAAAGGTTCATCACACTCACCCCCGCCATGAACCCCATGGTGATCTTCTTGTACGGCTTGCAGAGGTGGATGAGCACCGACTCCCGGATGCGCTGCCTGAGGGGTCCCAGGTACGTCATGACGAAGGGGTCCTCCGTGATGCGGTTGCGCTTATCGTGCAGCGTCCGCTCGAACTTGGCTAGGTCGTTCCCCTCGTACGCCATTCGCAGGTCCATCATCGCCACGATCTCTTTCTCCTCCTGGAACCTGCGTAACGTTGGGAGGAGGGGGAGGGAGGTGTTATTCACGCCCGTGCTGTAGTCGTTAGACCATCCACCTTGCATTCCTACAAAGCCGGGGCGTCGTTAGCGTACGAGATCTGTGGAACAGGAAGCGAGAGCGGCGATGCACTTCCGCTCAAGTTTCGTGTGAACGGAAGTTGGCACCTGCCTACCCCACGCGAATGAATTGACGCCCCACCTACCTCTACCGGCTACTCGATACTAACCGCATATGCAAGGGCAGTCGTGGTTCCTCAAGAACCAAGAGTGACAAGGGATGTCGCCGGCCTTGTACGGGGCAATCAACCATACTTCATGTTGGGTTGTTAAGGAGTCATGGCCTTGGGTCAGTTCTACTCGCACATAGCGTCAACGCACCACTCGTTGCCCACACAACAAATTCGCTGGTGCCCGCAAAACCAGTTCACAGCGAAGTGATCACATTAAACTCACTCACACCCCATACCATCTCTAGCTTTTCGATCATTATGGCCCCTCGCTAGCAGACTCACACTTTGGCCTCTCTTGCCGCGAAAGGGTTGATCCGCGAAAGGTCCAGCATGTTCGCCAGAACCACGTACTTGAGACAAACCTGTCACCCACACACGCGCGTTCGCAACAAAACCCGGATGATGCATAAACAACAGAAAACACGGCCGTCAGGGTAGTGATGTGCTACTACACTACAGACTTGCTGCTGTCTCAGGATCAAATTGCAAACGCACTTTCGAAGGGTCTTACGCGTAGTTCAAGGGTAAAAGTAGCTTCAACTTGCTTTGAGCGATTGGACACACACGCTCTTGATAGCATTCTCAGAAAGGTAATTCAGGGAGCTAGCTCATTCTCGGTAGACGACCCGAACGAGAAGAGTACGAAAAACAAGTAGAGCGGAGGGGGTAAGACTTGCGTAGGTCCAACAGTCGCCACATGAATCTCATCTGGTGTACGTGCGCGCCTTTGATATTCCACCATCACCAGCACCAGCATCACCCCCACCAGCACCACCACCACATCAATACCGGTATCGCCACACCAGCACCAGAACGGTAGTGATCATAACCTACCAACACGCATCAACGGAGCCCCATCACAGCAAAATCGTCAAAACTACGCCCCCAGCTTCATGTGTGACTCCAATAACTCCCCCCCACACATCAACGGAGCTCACTACAGCAATGCCGTCACAGCTACACCTCCAGCATCATGCGTGACTATCATATCATACCCCCCCCAACACATCAACGAAGCTCCACAGCACTACCGTCACTGCTACGCCAGCAGCATCATGCGCAACGACCATCAACGCCCCCCCTTACCTTCGCGTTAGGGTTCCCTGCCTCCTGATAGTTCCGAAACCCCTCGTAAAACTCGTTGTACGCCTGGCCCCAGTTCCCCATCGACATGTACATCTGCACATAGAAGCAAGCGTATGCGAGTTGTGAAAATACGAGCTTAACCTCCGTCAAACCATGAAGGAAGTGCGGGAAGACCCTGTCTGGGGAGGAAAACAAAGCGCGGAAGCCGCTATGACAAGAACAACAAGTAGCACACAGCAGGACTTCCGCGTGTACGGGTGTCGTAAAGCAAACTTCACAGACACCGGGGCAATACGGATTAGGAAGCAGCAAAGGAGGTGAACAAGAAACAAGAAAAACTGCAGAAAAACTGTCGCCGTCTCAACACATTGTCAAAAGTCCACAAAAAAAAGACGTTACGGGAGGAGGGGCCGAGATACAAGGCAACAACAACACACGAAAAAGGAGATAAAAAAAAAAGGACGGTACAGTACCGAGCTGGCTGCGCCCCCGGAACGCTCTCATGATCGTGCGAAAGGACAAAAATACCACACGCTGATATCTGTGTAGACTGTTCATTTCTTCGTCAATGGCAAAATCCATACATAGAGTGAACAAAGGACACACCTGTCCACAAGAAACTCCTCTTTCCACAACGACTACTTCCAAGCCTGACGTGCATTAATATTCGTATGAAAGTCAGCGGCGTCGTACCACCCATGCTTCACTCAGGAACCAAATCAAACCTTTACCTTTCCCCCCTGCTCTCTAATGACGCCCATGATTCGAGGATCTTCCACGGAGGCATTGAGGTCGATCGTCTTTGGGTACACCTTACATATTTCGAGGGAGACGATGTCGAGGGGGGGGGGGGGG